CAGCAGGTTCTTGAGCAACAAAAGCAGCGATCAGCGAACGATCAGCAGAGCCCGCAAAAGCAGCAGGACGGCGTGCTCGGGCGCAGGCCGCGGGATCCTCCGCTGCTGATTGACTGCTCAGGGATGACTGCGAGCGAGACGAGCACGTGCATGCGGCAGGCCATGAGGGCCGCGCAACATGCGGTGAGCAGCCTCAGCACGCGCGCAGGCACAATTCACATCGTGGCAATTCTCTGCGCGAGACGGGGCGCAGATATTCGCCGTCCTTGGGCACGAATCTGAGCCGTAGCAAGCCGCGAGACGGCGTGTGGCCTGCAGCTCTGCATCCCCGCTTGCAGACGCCCTCTGCGCCTCGACATATCCTTACGTACGCGCCGCCCCGCAGGCCAAGCTCTCGTTGGAGCACCAGGCTGCAGGCTTGCCGCCCATCAACCTGCGCCACCAGCTGCGGAAGTTCATGCTTGCGGAGGCGGTGGAGAAGGGCGCGGGCGGCAAGGGCAACAAGTTGCCGTGGCTGGAGGTGGCGTCGGGCGCCGCAAAGCTGGATGGGGACTTCCACAAGAGTGAGGCGCAGTTGCTTCTGAAGCAACTAGGGCTGAGTCCCTGCCCGTTGGGGCAGGGGAGGGGATCTTGTCGATACGGCGGGGGATGCAAAGGAGTCGAGCGTCGCAGGGGTGAGGAGGTGCCCTAGCTGCGCACACACCCGGTACGTGCTCAGCAATTGCTGGACCGGCACGCATGACCAATGTACCCCCACGCAAGAGGCTCGCGTCCTTACACTGTGTTGGAAGGTTGACTTCATGTTCTGCCCCCCGACCCCCCCTTGCAAGCACAGAGGTGCAGCAAAGGCGGGAGCAGCTGTTCAAAGCATGCAAGCAGTCTGCGCAGGAGCAGGGCTGCGAGACCAGCCAGGCGTGGGTCCAGGAGATGCAGATCATGTGTGGCAGCAGGTGAGGCCTTGGGGAGCCCATGCTGGGCGTGCTTTGCTGTTGCTGCCATTGTTGCCAAGTCATGTATTTCATGGCGTGCTGGAACTGTGCCGAAGTCTGAAATCACAGCTGCGCTGCAGAGGTGTGCAACCGACATTGTCAGGCAATAGCGACCCTGAATGCGACCAGTTGGAAGTGCGCTCCCCTTACCCTCGGCGCCCGCATGCCCGCTGTGCGACTAGGGCCCGCATGGAGGTCGAAGCACAGGTCGCAGCAGCCGCGGGCAAGCCGCGCAGGGACAGACCCAAAACCAGGCCAAATGACGTCCAGCTGACATCAGCAGAGCGGGCGGCGTGGGCGGCGCAGCGCCCCGAGGACGCGCCGCGCGACCTGCGGCGGCGCTGGATCCAGGAGCGGCTGCTGGAGACGGGCTGCTGGGCCCTGGCCGCGGTGGCCGGGCAGCAGCTGCACGTAGCACCTGAGGGAGGCGCGCAGGGCCTGGGGATGCCGGCGCCGCTGCCTGGGGAGTGCGCTGCACTGCGGCTTCTGGGCCAGCAGCAACAGAAGCAGCAGCAGCAGCAGCAGCAGCAGCAGCAGCAGCAGCAATCGCCGCTGCAGCTGCAGCAAGAGGCCGCCTTGCGGCTGGCATCCCTGCAGCAGGCCCGCGCAGCCCTCCAAAAGCATGCCGCCCCATCAACCGCGCTGCACGAACCGCCGCTTGCTTGCGACTCGGCTGCACCCTGCAGCACCAACGGCGCCGCAGCAGCCGGCTGCACGGCCGGCGGTGGCGGCAACGGCAGCGGCGACAGCAGCAGCAGCGATGACGCGGCGGCTGCTGAGGCGGGGCGGTTGCTGGCGCAGCGGCTGGCGGCCGCACAGGACCGAAGCGACCGCGTTCTGGCGGCGCACATGGCGCTGCCCGATCAGCTGCCCGCGCACCTGCTGAGCCCTGCCGTAGCGCGCGCCGCGTCGAGCGGCGGAAGGGACTGCGCGAGCGGCGGCGAGGGCGGCGCGGCAACGCGCGACGGGCTGGGGGCGGAGGAGGGCCGCGAGCTGGAGGCGTATTGGAAGGCACGGGTCAAGGCGGCGGCCGGCGACCCTGCGGCGCAGCGCCAGGCGGTGCTCAGCGGGGTCGAGGCGCTCGAGGCATTCCTGAATGCGGGCGGCGCCCTGCCCGGCCGCGACGGGCCCCGGCCGGCGCCGCCGCCGCCGTGCGGGAGGGAGGCCAGGGCGCTGCGCGCGCAGTTTGATGGAGCGGCGGCGGCCTGCGGCGCAGGGCAAGCAGCAGCCAGCTGCAAAGTTCCCAAACAGCAACAGCAGCAGCCGGAGCAGCTGCCTGAGCAGCAGCAGCAAGAGGAGGAGCAGCAGGAGGAAGAGGAGGAGGAGGAGCAGCAGCAGCAGCAGCAGCAGCAGCAGCAGCAGCAGCAGCAGCAGCAGCAGCAGCAGCAGCAGCAGCAGCAGCAGCAGCAGCAGGAGCAGGAGCAGGAGCAGGAGCAGGAGCAGGAGCAGGAGCAGGAGCAGGAGCAGGAGCAGCAGCAGCACCAAGACCATGAACAGGATCGGCCAACGGAGAAGCAGCAGCAGGACCCGGGCACAGAGGAACAGCAGGAGCAGCAGCAGCTGGAAGGGCTTGAGACACCACAGCGAGAGCACAGCCAGAGAGAGGACGCAGGGGCACCAGCGCGGCTGCCGGAACTGCAGGGCACAGGGGCTGAGGCAGCCGTTGGCGTCGCATCAGGGCCAGAGGCTGGCGAGGAGATTGCCGCCGGCAGCAGTTCCGGTCTTGAGGAGGTGAGACGGCAGGTTGTGGGGCCATAGAGGTGTTTTGCTCCACCACACACGTGCGCCGCTGATAAGCATTGCAGGGCTGCAATGAAGCTCTGCAAGGATTGCTGGTTCTGTGCTTACCCGTGAGGGGTGGGGGTGGGCCGCGCTAATTGCTGATAACCACGTCCCCTTTAATCTTCACGCCCTCGCCCCCCCGCCTGCAGGAGGCCCCTCAGGAGGAGCCGCGGCCGCGCCCGCCCGCCGCCCGCGCCCGCGCGGAGGCCGACGCGGCGGCCCTGCGCGTCATGCGCGCGCGGCTGGTGGAGACCAGAGCCGGGACACTGTCGTACGACGCCGTCGCAGAGGTGCGCGCGGGCCCGCCCCCTGGCCGCGGCCCCGGGGTCTGATTGGCCGTCGCTGCGCTTGGGGCGACGTCCGACGAGCGTCACCAAGCAATGAGCCACGCCATGCCGCGCTGCACGGCCCTGCTGCGGCGGCGTGGCGCAGGCGCGCCGGACCCCGCGTGTCTCCGCTCCGCGAGCTCCACAGCGTTGTGCTGGCGCCTTGGCCCGGAAGCCTGCCCCCAGCGCTGCCGTCATCATACCCACCC